TTATTTTACGAGAGATATATTATCAGCCTACTGGATATTTTTCTAACCCTAAATCCCTAAGAAATGCATGTAAAAAAAAGGGGCACCGATTCCGTCTAAGTGAATGCAAAGATTTTTTAGAAAATCAAAAGTTATATCAAACAAATAAAACCTCTCCAAAATATATCCCTAGAGTCAGCTATGGGCGAATAACATGCCCCAATTGTGTACACCAGTGCGATATACTATTTCTCACTCATGATTACTATAGAAGTAAAAAATATAAAGCAGTACTTAACATTATAGACTGCGCCTCCAGATACAAGGCCTTAGTTCTTCTTAGATCGAAGAAAAGTTCTGAAGTTGCTAAAGCATTCAGGAGAATATATGGCAATTGAAATAATCCTCTTACATATCCTAAATTACTTCAAACAGATAACGGGCAAGAATGGATAGGTGAAACTTCTCGATTGATGCAAGAGCATAATGTAATAATTCGAGTAATTGGCCCATATAGTCATAGGAGACTTGCTTTTGTGAAGCGTTTCAATCAGACACTCTCAAAAATTCTATATAAGATCCAGTATGCTGTTGAGTCTATATCTTCCGATCTTGAATTAATAAGAGCATGGGTTAGGTATTTACCGGAAGCTATTGATTATCTGAATAACTATCCCACACGCCTTATTCGAGAACCAGGATAAGAAAAGTGGGGACTCGAGTCTGTGAAAGTTATTGCACTAGAACGAGTTAAATCTAGACCATCTACAAAATATAAGCGCCCAGTTGGAAAAGATGAAATAACATTAAAGAAAGGAGATACTGTCCGCTATCTACTTGCAAATGCAGAATGGGAGGGTGGGATGGAGAATCAAAGGCGGGCCACTGATCTGATATGGTTGCCAAATCTTCATAAAATCTGAAAAGTTGTTTTCATAAAGAATGAGCCAGTATTATATTATATCGAAGGTGATGAATTTGCACCATCTCGCGGATTTATGCGAGAAGAACTCATGTTAATAGTTAATTCAGAAAAAGTTGGATATCCATCTCAAAGTATATTATCTGTAAATTTCGTTCATACTACTCCAATCAATAGTGAGTTAAACCAAGCTATTGGTTATGCTCAAAGACGTGGTGGTCAATGTCTAGGAAAGACTGGAGAAATAAATGATCATGATATATATCTTTGGTCTTATGAAAATAGTACGCATCAATGGGAGTATCCATTAAAGTATATCATGAAAAAATTTGAGTGGTGCCCTCTATGCTATCATACTAGCGATGAACGCAAGTGTCAATATATTTTTGAAGATCTGCTAGGAAAGAAATTTCCATCCTGTAGACCATCATTTTTGAATGGGATGCATTTGGATGGTTATAACAAGGAATTGCATTTTGCTTTTGAATTCCAGGATCCTCAACACTATCATCTTAATTCAATGTTTTATAGGAGAGGGAATAAAGATTTGGAAGAACAAAAATCACGAGATCAGAAGAAGCAGGATATATGCAAGGAGCAAGGTATATGTTTTATCGAAGTGCCATATACATATGACCTTTTCCCTTACATTAAGCATACGCTAATTGAGAAAGGATTCTTGAATGAAGTGAAGCCCAACCCTTGAAAGTTCATGTGATATAAAACCCCTTAACAATGTTAAGAGGTTTCCAAAAATTTGAATTTCCTAAGTTAAGCGAGCTGGCTCCACAATGACCCGTCTGAAAATTTCATAATATATTTTTTAAGTATGATATTAAGCAATATGAAAGATCATAAAAAACATCAAGTCAAAAAGCTTGATCAGGCAGATAGAATTGATCTCCATATTGATGAGATTAAAGATGCAAAAAGATTCAATGGATTGAATTCAACCCTTTAATGGCCTTTCACCCTTCTGATCTCAGGACGGACCAATTCAGGAAAAACTAACAAAGTTGTGAATCTATTATTGGAAAACAAGCTTTATTGAATGTTTAAAGGTAAGAAAGAAGGGACAAGATATATCAAAAATGATGATTTAATTCTTTTTGGCCACCATCTCAACGAACCAAAATATAAGTATCTCAAATCAGCCTATCAGATAATTGCGAATAGTCCAAAACTATATTGTGAAGATATCACATTTCGGGCTATAAAGTCTGATAAGATTCCAAAGCTGGATTCATTCTCTTCAGAAAGAGGTAAAGTGGCTATGAAGTCTGATAAAATTTCAAAGCTGGATTCATTCTCTTCAAAAAGAGGTAAAGTAGCTATATTCGAAGATGTATGCGCTGATCTAAAGAAAGTCCAGAAGAAAATCGTTCCTTATTTTACTAAAGGGCGTCATAAAAATATTAGTAGTATGTATATTACACAGAGCTTTTTTGACTGTCTGAAGATAATAAGAAAAAACTTAAATTATGTTGTACTTTTCAATGGGTCCACTTCTGATGAACTAGCTCGTATTCTTCGCCTATATACTTATGATTGGTGTAGTATATATGAAGATATCGTTAACTATTTGACTGATCGCAATTTTATTGTCTTTGATTTAACAGTGCCTCCAAACCATCCTCACAGGATACGA